GGTAGTTGTAGAAAAATGCTTTTAGCAGTGTACCTGTGTTGGTGTATCTACATGGATATGTACACAAGCTAGGCCAAGGGTTAGTTGTCTTTCCTACAATGGCCAAATTACACAATGGTCATATTACATAATAGGGCACTCTACTTAACAAATACATTTACAAAAGCAGCCACTATAGAATTGAACAAAATACCATGTGGACCACGCATAAATTAAGTGCATTAAATTTGACAATACATGAGTAATATTGCTTCACGTATACAAAGTGAATAATTGTAACATTCAGTCCCAATTTGGAAAAATAAAGTGCCCAGGTGTTGAATACTAATTGGTGAACTTTGTGTAAAAATGACACGTGCTCCTCTGTGCTCAGTCGGTGCCCCACATGGATGTGCACTCACCGTTAGCCATGGACCACCTATCTCCAACACTTGCCCCTGTATGCGGAAAAAACTGAGCTTGATCATCCTGCAAGTTCCTGTTGTCTGCTAAGACCTTCCTTAAACCAGGCAATGCTCTATTGTGCCTTTTTTGTGGCTCCAAATTCTTCCCTAAATGCTGGAGCAACTCCTGCATGGCAGGCTGAGGCAGGCAATAACGGCCTAAAACGTCAGGATCAGACAGAACATAAAATAGAAAGTTTGGAGTTTGAAACTAGTGAGGCTGTCTCATCCTCAAAGAAGGCAGCAACTCAAATTCAGCCTAAACCAGGGGTGTCCAACCTTTTGAATTTCCTGGGCCACATTGAAAGAAGAGGATGTGTCTTGGGCCACACATAAAATACACTAACAATAAGCATAACTGCTGAACAGAAAACGTCAGGTAGATCACAAAGTCATGATCACCGATATAAATAAAGTACTTATCTGAGTGATAAAAGTTCTTTTTTTTTTGTAGCATCATAAAACTAGTACGATATTTAACACTATTTTTGATATACTAACTTATCAATATCTGGTAAGATAAGATGATTTGGTTCTAGTTTTGCTCCTTGTGTGCTTCATTCTTGAAAATAGTTGCTCACAAATATAGGTGCTGCTGAAAACTGATGACTTGAATAAGGCATGATTGTGAAGAGTGGGGTAATTTTCTTTTGGGAAGATAAAACCAGTATAGACTTATAAAAGTCCAGTATAGAGACACTGTCAAATATTTATTTGGCCTCACGTGTTCGCTAAGCGTAAATGGATTTTTACAAAATATTAAAAAAAAAAAAATTGTGTTGGGTTGCATTCATTGCCGTCTTGGGCTGAATGTGGCCCATGAGCTGCGGGTTGGACAAGTCTGGCCTGCAGTGTCTGCTTGCTACTTACTGCTAAGATCAGTAATGCTGGAATTTCATCAACAAGAGTCATTCTCAAACAACACCAGTGCTAACCCACAAGCAGTTGCACACATCTATGTTATAAGGGATGGGGAAGGTCACCTGACTACAGCATGTCAAATGGCCAAAATTCACCAGTTCATGTCACTTTGCACCTTTCACACGGGCATTCCGTTTGTCAGTTTTTCATCCATCCGTTGATGGATGAAAAATGGACATCAATGCATCTCTATGGACAAGTGGATGTAAGCAGATGATCATCCATTGATATCCGTATATATCGCTTCCGTTAACATCCGTTTTTGAAACAGAAGAAAGCCCTATTTTTGTTCTTAAAAAAAAATGGAATGGACAAAAAACAGATGTGAACAGTCAGTCTGTTTTTTGCATCCATTTTTGCATTGGTGGTGGATGTAAAAACTGTTATAAACTGATGAAAACTGATCTGTCCTTTTTTTGAAACAAACATGACTGAACTGATGAAAGAAACAGAACGCCCGTGTGAAAGGACCCAGGGTAAAATTAATCAGTCCATAAAGTGAATAGTTTGCAATTTAAAGGATACGTTCACTTTTTAGAAACAAAAGATTAAATGCACATTTTTTTTGCAGGTACAAATAATGTGCATTTTTTATTTTTGTCTGCAAGAGCCTGTAAAGCATTGCACCAGAGATCAGCAGATCGCTGGTGCCATGCAGGTCTACTATAGATCTGTCAGTATATCTGCTTGCCCGTACGGGGTGTACAAGAAAGCAAATATATTAACAGGAAGAATAAATGGACTACCACAGCTATCCACGGTGCCGTGGTAGTTCATTGAGGACTACAAGCCGACAGCCGCTAATGCTGTCATGACTTGTACTCTCATTCACAGAGGACTAAATTTGACAGCTAGCGGGGGAGAAGATCCCTAGCTCGCTGTCAAAGCAGGGAGCCAGTCTGATGATAAAAGGTTACATGTTATAGTACACCCTGAATATAGGTGTATACGTAACATGTTACCAACAGGTGAACCTTTAATTTGGGTAGATAACAGGTAAATCTTACATTAATTTAAATCAAATGTTCCTTGAAATGAATGTTCCTTGAAATGTTCCGTGAAAACAAGCTTCAATAGTACAGTAAACTAGTTTTTTCATTGAAGAACAGATGTCAGCAAATCTTGTTTGATGCAAATTTCACTTAAGTGAATCTTGCTTGATACAAATTTGTAACCAGTAAGTCATGTTTGAAAACGAGTTTAACCGAAAAACCATGATAAATAGAAATTGTGGAAAATATATTGATGGTAAAAAAATGGACAAATCTTGGTTGAAAACAATGATAAAAAGACCCCTAAATGTAATTAAAAAACCCTTAAAAAATATAAGTGCTAAAATGTATACTATAAAATAAATGTAATATTAATAGTACCTAAAAATACAATATAAATAGAATGCTTCATATAATAATACTTTCTTTTCTCTAGTGGCATAATCATTTCATAATGCCAGTGACAGTGGGACTTGCTTGAATTGTGACTGCTGCAACAAAGAGGTAGACTGCTCTTTTAATTTAAGCTTCTCAAGAAAAAATAGCCAGTTGTGTCTGTATCTGCTTGTTCATCCTCACTTTGTGGTTCCTCTGAACAGCCATAATGCAAAAAAGAAGACCTGGTTGAAAATGACATGTTTCTAGGTATGGCAGAACATCCTTGCTAGAAGTTAGTCTAAAATGTGACTATCTACCTAAGGCGGTCATTTTTTTTGAATGCTAAAAAATTTTTCATGCCGTTTAGTGATGGTGAAAATGTTCCAAATTTTTACAATCCTTTTTTAGTGCAGTATAAAGATTTTCTGTAACTACTGGTCTCTATCAGTCTGGGACTGCCTGCAACCCACATTTAAACATTTTACTAATTTTGAGCAATGTTGACGATACTTCTATTCCATGAAATGATATATGTTTCTGTGCACAAATTTATTATCAACACCATGCTCATTTGTTGTTTGAAGTTTCTCTCTCCTGCGTTGCGGACTTCCACTCGAGTAATACGTAACTATATGCTTGTTGTGGGGTTTTTTTTTTGTGAAAATAAATAGTTTCTTCCCTCATGGCTCTCTCCTAACCTCTGCTGGAGAGAAGAGGAGAGGTTTTTAGAGTTTGTATAGAGTACAGATAGTTCACCTACAGCAGGTAGCCAAAGAGAGTAGAGTACACAACTCACTGTCATTTGCACCCTTTAAAGTAAGTCTCTTCATGCTATGGCTTGGGTTGTAGCCTCAATTCCCAATAATTATAAAACAAAACATTATTTAATTAATATGTCTGAAAAAAAAATATGACTCTCCAAATGACCCTCTAAATAGTTTAGTAGTTTTGTACAGAGTTAACCATCTGCCAATGTTCTATCAAACAAGAATCAGAATCATAGTAATCCAGCAGTATTTCTGCCCTATGTCAGGTAGCTATGCAGTACCTCGGATGGTTGCTCTACACCAGTGTGTTTCTCAACTCCAGTCCTCATGGCCCTCCAAATAGGTCATGTTTTCAGGATTTCCCTCAGATGAAACAGCTGTGGTAATTACTAAGGCAGTGAAACTGATCAAATCACCTGTGCAAAATAATGGAAATCCTGAAAACATGACCTATTGGGGGTCCATGAGGACTGGAGTTGAGAAACACTGCTCTACACCAAGGAGTTTATTTATAAAAAAAACTCACAAAGTAATTCATTCAGTAAAAGTGCGTGTATATGGGGGCAAAAGCAAATGTTATCAGGCAATTTTTTTGTGCATATCCAATTTTTTCCATAGGTTTACAATGGAAAATACTTCTTTTGGTCACTTGATGGAGCTAAGTATCATGGGAAATTCCTATAATACCTAGCTACATATAGTGGCCAAATGCAGTATTTTCAGTTTTAAATCAATAAAAAAAATTTGGGACCAGCACAAGAAAACAATCCTAATAACATTCATTTTTTGCCCCCACTTGCACAGAATGAATGTACATGTTCTTTTATTGAGTACATTTTTTATAAATAATCCCCTTCGTGTTAACATACACATCAAACATTTCAAGCAAAAACTATTGGTTCATTTAGAGTCATTTAGAGGGTTTTTTCTGCATAGCGCAACAGTGCCTTCTCCTCCTGACATTTATCCATTGTTTTAATTGCATCTACAGTCACCAAGTCCTTTTTAAACAATTTGTTTATTGATAATAAAAAGTTTTTGTCTTGCAAGATAAACCATCATTGCTAGTTAGCTTTGCAAGAAGAAAGATATACTGGGAAGTGGAATGCATGGATGGATGAATGGATGCGTGGAAGAACAGGTGAAGGGAGGGATTAGGTGATAGAAGTAGGAGCAAATAAATGATGGAGTAGGGATAAACTGATGAAGGGTGGTATGGATGGATAAATGGAAATATGAATAGTTTAATGATTAGAGGAGGGAGGGGGAGAGAGAGAAAACAGGCAAGGAATGCATGTAACTATAGAAAGAAGGAAGAATTAAAGTGTTGCTAAACCCAGGACCCTGCATTCACTGTCTGGTCTCCCACAGTACATAGAACATGGAAATGCAATTATTTTAGTAAATATAAACTGCTAAATACCTTTTTTCCCATCAGCAGTTAGAGCAAACTTGTGACTTCCATCAGTGTCCAGTCGAGCACTGGTTAAAGCTTGTAGGAGGAGTTTTTTTTCTGCTGTAGGAGGATACAGAAACCCCTGACCTCTGTCTGGTTAGTGCTGATTGGCCCTGTGTTGATCACATGCACTCTCCCAAGAAAAAAAACCCCTTCTTTAGCAATACACACCACACTGAGCATGTGCAGAGTGACTCCACACGGTATGTCTTATCAGGAGGTAAGAGGGGGACACTGGAAGAAAGGGAGGATCAGAGAAGTCAGGATCAAACCGCCTTTTTACACAATGCAAGGGATTAACCCCTTAGGTTCCACAGTGAGTATAACAAGCATGCTTTACTGCATATACAGACTGATTTTACGGTTGTGGGTTTAGTAACACTTTAAACATGCCTGTAGATGAGGTTGGCAGTATATCAATTATTTGATGCACTAATTGTTTCTTTATCCTTGGTCTCAATAAGTATTCTCCCTGACAATGTCATCTTCTAACATGTGCTATATATATTCATACAAAGATATATGAAAAAAATGCTAAATCTGAATATTGGTGTTTACTGTACAGAATCACACGTCTTCAAATACAATTTTTGAATTTGTTTCCAAACCTGTCATAGTAGATGATGGCAATATTGGTGGCAATGCTCAGGGCTTGGTTTAACTTAGACCATACAATGAAATGAAATATTGTAATACACCTAAGCAGATTGTAGTGGATTGATTTTACTACCTAACTCACATTTTTCAATGTTTTATCTTTAAATTAAGCTAACCACTTTTTTGCAAATAAAACTTGCCAATTAGTTTTCTCTCCATCCTCTCCAACAGCTATTTGACTCTTGTCATCAAGGATTGCCAGTGTCGCCTTGTGGTCTTGTGTATTTGAAGATGTTTTGACTTTTTAACTGTAAAGTTACACAAAATACTGCTAGTTACTGAGCCAAACTTCTCACAGACATGCATAAACCTCAGGGCAAAGGATCCTTTTTAACCAATTCTTCTATTACATTTGCTTTTCTGCATTCATAACATTTTCTTTTTTGCACACAAAAAACTAGCACTTTGTTTAAGCCTACCTTAAAGGAGAACTTCAATAAAATCAACAACCAAGGAATATGCAAGTGTGTAATGCACATCTCAATTCAAGTGTATCAGTCTGGACTATGCTACATATGGACATAAAGAAAACAAATAGAGGGCGCTGCGGCCTAGTGCATTATCATAAAAGCATTTATTGAAATGATAAAAAATAGGCATCGCACTCACGATTGACATAAAAGTCAAAGGCACATCACAAAGAACAGCACTGTCCAATCCAGACTGCATGTCCATCTGCAATGGGAACCCAGAACTTCCAACAGGTTAATGCATTTCGAGCACTTTACCTTTTCCTAAGAGCCAACAAAAACAAAATAAAAGAAGCTACAGGCATTTTGTTTTCCTTATATCCAGTGCATTTGGACTACCCCGGTTCATTGAGGGCAGCAAGGAGTGCACATTCCAGGACATCCGAGATGTAGCCATAGCCCTATCTGAGTCCATTCCCAAGCACAGGAGTATTTGAGTTTGCTGTTTTTTATGCTACATATGGGGGAGAGGGAGGGAGATATGATGGAGGGAGAAAGAGATAGAGAGTAAAGTAGCCCATAAATTATTATTATTATTATACAGTATTTACATAGCGCCAAAAGGTTTGCTCAGTGCTGTACATTGTAGTGGGGGACAGTACATGAGACAATACAGTAACAAAAACAATACACGAGGGGTTCGAGGGCCCTGCTCTTTCGAGCTTACAATATTATGTAATTTTCTTTCCTTCCATGACTGTGTTGATGGGGGAATCCCTCGCAAAGCACTATTGCGTTCTGTTGGTGGGAAGCCTTTCCTACCAGCAGAACATAAGGATCCTTGGTGGCAGCTATAGCCTCTAGCAGTGATCATATGAAAGAAATACGACTAGCTGATTGTACTGAATCCCACCCGCTCCGCAGCCTGGTGCTCCATGAGCACTGGAGGGTCAGAGCAGAGAACAGGAGACAGACAGTCACCAGCACTCTGCTCACTGGAGACTGAGATCTCACTCTGCTCATTGAAGACTGAGAGCTGTGGTCTTTGATCGCTCAGTTCTTGGTTTTAGAGGAGGTGAGGGACAAAGGCAGTATCGGAACCAATGTTGCATCCAGCTAGGTGAGTATGTACCAGGGGCGGACTGACAACTCATAGGGCCCCCGGGCAATAGGGGATCATGGGGGCCCCTGTGTCCTTGCCCGAACTCAAAAAAGCCTATGAAAAAGGTACCAGGGCATGTCATGGGGCCCCCTACTGACCCCGGTCCCTCGGGGCAGTGCCCGAGTTTCCAAATGGTCAGTCCGCCCCTGGTATGTACTGTATGTTTGTTATTTTGACATCCCATGATTCTCTTTTAACATTTAAAGCTAGCTTTCTTGATTTTTTTTATATCTTGATTGAAAAAAAAAATCCAAATACCATCAAATAAAAAGAAAGGTTTATTGAAAATGTAAAACATAGGCATGCATTTTTGACAGTTTTGTAAAGGTAAATATAATTGCTAAGAACAGTCCTATCGGTGAAATGGGTGATGGGGAATTAAGAAAGGAATTAGGAAAGTAAAAGATGGCTACAAGAAGGATCCTCTTTCATGGATTACTGTCTTTATATGTAACATGAGTCTTACTTGTTAAGTTTATGTTTTAGAGTTGCTGAAGCAGTAAATGTCCTGTCTCTCTCAAAGCCTGTTACAGGGCTTGTAAAAGGAAACCCCAATACTGAAACAGCTGTGCTGTATTTTCACTAATATTTGACATGCCACTGGCCAAAGGCCAATTCAAACTGTGCCCGACAATTAGCATATCTTCTCTTTGCTTCATTTCTGTTTACCGCTGATTATTTAAAATAGCAACTCCTTGTATGCTCCATTTCTGTTTAATATTGAAGGGTCACTGCAGTTTTCTTGTTTCTTTAGTGTCCTACATTGCTCCCACTACTCTACCTCATTGAAAGTCAGCACATTCCTAACAACAGTGCTTATCAACTCCCTCTTCCAAACGTCTAGCAGTGCTGGAGAGATGTGTTCTAATGTATGCTGAAGTTTAAATTCCAAACACACCTTTCACACCTACATACCAGTTTGTCTCAATGTAAAATATCAAATTTGCACAGATACCTACATCTGACACACAGCACGCATGCATGTATTTGTGCATGGTAGTTTCAAAGATGACAAAATGAGTTTACATTAAAGTTTGCTTTTCAGTTTATTAAACTGGAACTGAACTCGAAAAATGAAGTATTGCTGTATTATCGGAGACATCTAGAAGTGTTAATTGTGCCTAAGTGGTACCTTCAAAGTGGAACTTTCCTTTGTTGAAAATACAATTCACTACAAACTTGCATCTCCACAATATAACTCTGAACTTGAAGCAGCTATCTTGAGACCACCTTCAATTTCCATCTGAAAAAATTCAATTATCATCAACCCTCACTCCTTCTGATATGTACTGTCATTGGGCCACCATTCAAAGCTATTAGCTTTCTGTCATCTATAATTTTTGCTTTTCATCATGTGTGTGCCTGGCTATTAGGACAGGCTTCAAGCTTTATATGAAGAAATACATCCCAGGCATCCTTTTAGACCAGTGGTTCTCAACCTTTCTAATGCTGCGACCCCTTAATACAGTTCCTCATGTTGTGGTGACCCCCAACCATAAAATTATTTTCGTTGCTACTTCATAACTGTAATTTTGCAGTGGGAGGAGTAGTGCCACATCATTGGTGTCAGTGGAAGGAGTAGTGCCCCATCACTGATGTCAGTGGGATGAATAGTGTTCCATCGTTGGTATCAGTGGGAGGAATACTGCCCCATCGTTGGTGTCAGTGGGAGGAATAGTGCCCCATCGTTAGTATCAGTGGGAGGAATAGTGCCCCATCGTTGGTTATCAGTGTGGTGGAGGGGGGAATAGTGCCCCATCGTTGATGTCAGTGTGGTGGAGGGGGGAATAGTGCCCCATCGTTGGTGTCAGTGTGGTGGAGGGGGGAATAGTGCCCCATCGTTGGTGTCAGTGGGGGGAGGAATAGTGCCCCATCGTTGGTGTCAGGGGGGAGGAATAGTGCCCCATCGTTGGTGTCAGTGGGGGGAGGAATAGTGCCCCATCGTTGGTGTCAGTGGGGGGAGGAATAGTGCCCCATCGTTGGTGTCAGTGGGGGGAGGAATAGTGCCCCATCGTTGGTGTCAGTGGGGGGAGGAATAGTGCCCCATCGTTGGTGTCAGTGGGGGAGGAATAGTGCCCCATCGTTGGTGTCAGTGGGGGGAGGAATAGTGCCCCATCGTTGGTGTCAGTGGGGGGAGGAATAGTGCCCCATCGTTGGTGTCAGTGGGGGGAGGAATAGTGCCCCATCGTTGGTGTCAGTGTGGTGGAGGGGGGAATAGTGCCCCATCGTTGGTGTCGGTGGGGGGAGGAATAGTGCCCCATCGTTGGTGTCGGTGGGGGGAGGAATAGTGCCCCATCGTTGGTGTCGGTGGGGGGAGGAATAGTGCCCCATCGTTGGTGTCGGTGGGGGGAGGAATAGTGCCCCATCGTTGGTGTCGGTGGGGGGAGGAATAGTGCCCCATCGTTGGTGTCGGTGGGGGGAGGAATAGTGCCCCATCGTTGGTGTCGGTGGGGGGAGGAATAGTGCCCCATCGTTGGTGTCGGTGGGGGGAGGAATAGTGCCCCATCGTTGGTGTCGGTGGGGGGGGAGGAATAGTGCCCCATCGTTGGTGTCGGGTGGGGGGAGGAATAGTGCCCCATCGTTGGGTGTCGGTGGGGGGAGGAATAGTGCCCCATCGTTGGTGTCGGTGGGGGGAGGAATAGTGCCCCATCGTTGGTGTCGGTGGGGGGAGGAATAGTGCCCCGTCGTTGGTGTCGGTGGGGGGAGGAATAGTGCCCCATCGTTGGTGTCGGTGGGGGGGGGGGAGGAATAGTGCCCCATCGTTGGTGTCGGTGGGGGGAGGAATAGTGCCCCATCGTTGGTGTCGGTGGGGGGAGGAATAGTGCCCCATCGTTGGTGTCGGTGGGGGGAGGAATAGTGCCCCATCGTTGGTGTCGGTGGGGGGAGGAATAGTGCCCCATCGTTGGTGTCGGTGGGGGGAGGAATAGTGCCCCATCGTTGGTGTCGGTGGGGGGAGGAATAGTGCCCCATCGTTGGTGTCGGTGGGGGGAAGAATAGTGCCCCATCGTTGGTGTATGTGTGGGAGAAATAGTGCCCCATCGTTGGGGCACTATTCCTCCCACCAATGATACTTACCTTGCTGACTCCTGCTCCAACCTGTGCTCGCTCTCTCCCTCTCCCATCTACTGCCAGCATACCTGGCTGCAGCAGCAAAATTTGCACTTAACTGTCAGCTGTCTTCCTTCTCTGGCCGCTCTCCTGTTCACTTGCTCCGGCAGCTCCCTCGATTTTCCTTGATCTACGCACGCAGGAGCTCCACCTCCTCACCGGTGATTGGCCGCCTGTGTGCCTCTCCTGAGCTACAGTTCCGGTGGCCAATCAGCGGCGAGGAGGCGGAGCTGTTGAGTGATCCCGGAGGTGTGGCCAAGTGACAGGGGCAGCATATCATCCCGCCCACACATCGCCTGAGACAGAGGAGCGGTGTCTCGGTTCCTAAGACCATCGGAAATATGTGTTTTCCGATGGTCTTAGGCGACCCCTGTGAAATGGTCGTTCGACCCCCAAAGGGGTCGTGACCCACAGGTTGAGAACCGCTGTTTTAGACATATATGTTCCTTCCTGCTGTTCACTGGAAACTTTTAAGAGCTGCTTGATTACACTCTACTTGAGTGTAATCAAGCAACTGATCAGCAGAATACACAATTAGAGTCTACAGCACCTAGTAGCCAGCAGGGATGAGCATGCACATCTAAAGGGATGTCAGAGATGTGTTTCTTTCATAAAACACAAGGGTTTTTAAAAAAAGATACGAAGCAGGGTGCTGTGATATTGGCAAGAGCCTAGCAGTCCCTCCCACAAAACTCAAGTAAAAACAAAGACCAGCAGAAAGACCCAGCAATGACATCACAGAGAGACAAAAGAAGTGTTTCTTAAAAATGAAATTGTTTCGGGGGGGGTCGCTTGTGAGCAGCACAGGTGAATGGACACCTGAAAGCTGCGTTCCTCCACCGCCGGGTACAGTGAGCCACCATCTGCCTCCAGAGGAGTCTGTTCTGTCCCCCATCCTTGCCTTCACCCTCCGCTGACCCCCCCGCCACCTATGGGGTAAAAACCAGCGGCCTCGCGCCTCCAGCACTCAGTGCCGAGCCGGTCCGCCGATGCAGCCTACTCACAAGCAGAAGCCCCAACCTCGATTTTGGCCATCCCTGCGGGCTACCTGCGGGCGGCCCAGATGCATTCTCGGACCTGGAGAGCCTGCCTGACATCCCTGCAGACCTCCCACAGCCCTCCTTGTGGGCCACAGACCACCCCTCCTTGCGGGCCGCAGACAACTCAAAGCCCTGCTTGCGGGCCGCAGACCACCCACAGCCCTTCTTGTGGGACGCAGACCACCCACAGCCCTCCTTGCAGGCCGCAGACCACCCACAGCCCTTCTTGCAGGGTGCAGACCACCCACAGTCCTTTTATGCAGATGATGCTCTTTTGGTTTTAACCAATCCTTTCATCACTCTCCCCAATCTCGAGGTCATATTGGACCGTTTTTCGACTATATCTGGCCTTAGCATCAATTTGTCTAAAACCACGGCATTGAATATTACGCTCCCTGCCGACCTGGTTGAACGGTTGCAGACACAATTTCCCTACCGTTGGGCATCCCATTCCCTGGCTTATCTTGGCGGTACACTTACTTCCTCCTACTCTGCCTTATTTTCGGCTAATTATTACCCCTTATTGGGCTCTGTTACTTCCCTGCTTCATTCTTGGCAGTTTCCTTCTTTATCATGGATTGGCCGGATACATGCTGTCAAGATGATTATTTTGCAGAAGATCCTGTACTTTTTCCACACTCTCCCTATTCAGGTCCCTGCGTCTTCTTCGTGTACTGCAAAGCCGGATTCTCAGTTTTATCTGGGCTCATAAACGTCCCAGAGTGCCTCGAGCCACTCTGTATACTCATAGATTACAGGGAGGTTTGTTAGTTCCACAGGTTTCTAGATACTACTTGGCGGCTCAGATTTCCCATTTGTCTATGCTTCATGCCACAACAGATATCCCGTTATGGGTACTCTTGGAATTACCCAACTGTGCTCCACTTTCCTTAAGTACATTGCTTTGGCTCCCACCTAAGTTGTGCCCTCTGGATTTGAGCCCTATCATGCTTCCCAGTTTACGAACCTGGGATTCTGTAAACTATTATGGTAATTTTCATCATTTCTACCTCTTTTGCCAATTATGCATAATGCCTAGAACATCCCCCTTCTTTCTCCTAGTGGGCCTCCCATGGCTTTGTTATTGTACATGATTTTCTGAGCGCTTGTACGTTTCCATCATGGGAGTCTTTGAGAATCAAGGAGGGTCCCGCCATGGGAATATTATCGGTATTTGCAATTGCGCCACTGGGTCCTATCCCTCCGTCGTACCTCTACATACCCATACCGCAAAACGCCCTTTGAGCACGTTTGTCAGCATTCTCCAGGGTCCCTGGTCTCATTTCTGTGATTTATGCCTCCCTTAACAGTAGGTCCTCCTTACCACCCCTGTCTTATGTCTATCAATGGGAGCGAGATCTGGGTGTCTCAATTGTGGTGGAGGATTGGCGTAGGGCCTGGGGGATGGTGGCAAAATGTTCATTCAATACAGTTACTCTTGAGGCAGCGTACAAAGTTCTCCTGCGGTGGTACTGGGTCCGGCGTGGACTGCTCACTTTAATCCGACTGGCGGAGATAGGTGTTTCCGGAATTGTGGTTTACGCGGGGACGTCTTGCACATTTGGTGGTCATACCCACGATTGATAGGCTACTGGTCTAGGGTTTTTGGTTTGCTACAAACACTATATTTCATATTATGGTCCGTAGGGATGCAAGGGTAGCCCTCCTGTATTGCCCAATTTTGGGTCTGTCTAGGTCTCAGCAGAAATTGGCAACCTACCTATTTTTATTTCGGCCCAAACGTGCTATAGCTCGAGCTTGGCAAACCCTTCGATTGTCTTCCAGGGGGTGAGGACCTGGATGCATGCTATGTTGATCAATGAACAGATGTCTAGCATTCTTCATGATTCTCATCCGAGATTCCTTAAGGTTTGGGAACCTTGGATACGTTATTCCTTGCCATCCCTGCCTCCTACTAGTTATGGCCAGGTATAGTCGTTGCCTGTGCTAGCCCTGGATCCGTGATTCTTCCAGTTTGTCTTTCCTCCATGTTTTCTTCTGATTCCTTTTTTTTTTGTTTTATGTTCTTTATCTTTCTTCTAACCTTTTTTTTTCTCTTCTTTTTCGGGTACTAATTTGGATTACTGCTGCTATTATTTGGTCGGCTTTTTGCCTGATGTCATTGGACATTTTGTTATTTGGCTAATACAAGTCAGCAGGATGTGTCTAATTATGTGTTATTGTTCTGCTCTGCCCCTGCATGGGCGTATCTTGAGCTAGTTGTATTCTTAAAACAAAACTTTCTTAATAAAAAAATATTGAAACAGAAAAAATGAAATTGTTTGATTCATAAATTTCAATTGCATGTAGATTGGGGAGGAGGGACAAGGGAAGATATTATGTGTGTACTACTTAAGGTTTAAAGATGTACTTTTTTTAATTCCCACTGAGCATACAGCCTCATTGCTGTATATCTATAGTATGAATCAAAGACTCTACTGCTTCTTACCTCTAGTCTTTAGGGCCAGATTAAGACCTTGAGGGCCTTGTGGTACTTTAGGTTCAGTGGCCCCCTCATACACAGAGTTGGTTTACATTCTCAATGACAGTCACACAATTTTTTTAAAATGCATGACACAACGTCACTCTGAGCTCATGCATGCACACACACACTCAGGCATAGCCTGCCTTCCTTAACCTTCCCGGCGGTATTCCCGAGTGTAGCTTGGGATAAAGTTTCAGTACCACAAGCGGTAACCCCCCGAGCTACACTCGGGCTTCCATGCAGCGCTGCTCCGGGATCTGTTCTTCTCTTACCTTGTCCTGTGCTCCCGCGATGTCCCTCCTCCAGTCTCCCCTGTAATGTCCTCCGGCGGATGCCGGCATCTGTCTTCTGGGTTCCGTCCCCTGCGACGTCCGGACATATGGGGGGCGGAATGGCGGGAAATTTGAATATGACAAAAAGTGACATTCACGAAGTACACTAAAATCACATAGTAAAACATTACTGTATCAAACCATTTCACACATTACATTTTGTCCCTAGTGCTTTGTCCTGTGCCCTGCCTGCATTTTTACTGTCTTTCTGCCCTGGAAACTGAGAAATGTCCATGGCATCCAAAAAGCGTCCCTTTAGGTCAAAATCGGTTTTTAGACCAGCTAGAGAACAGCCATAGTAAATTAGAACCACTTGCAGAATTGAGTGATAATGATTCGTGGGGAAATTCGTCATCAGACACTGAAAACAATTTTTGCAACTTTGCTCAATGATGTGCCAACTTGGTGCTCTATTTAAAATTTCAGTGTTTTTGGTTTGATTATATTATTGAATTAAATTTATTATTATATTATTATTTTTTTATGATTATTTATTAAATTATAATTTATGATTTCGTGTTTCAAATTTTATCATACCCAGGATGTTTACTAGACTCTTGTACGGACAGATTTCAGTGAGTTATTCCTCAAAATTACAGGCCTACAATAAAAAAATACATAGCTTTGAGCACAGAAATATGGACATAATCAGACCGCTAGGGAGGGTTAAGAGCTAACACACTTTATGTGTGGTTCGCATGAGCCTCCAAAATTCATTTTAAAAACTGACACAATATACCAGTCCAGAGTAAAAACTTCTACAGACGGTGGCTTGCCAAGATACATTTAATAGAAAGAAAGTAAATTTATTATTATATATTTTATATATAATGTTAATTTTTTTACTATTGTATATGATGTTTTTTTATACTAGTTTATATTATTTTTGTATGGAAGGACCTCCTTCTGTTAGGGGCGCCCAGGGCAGTTGCCCCTTTTGCCCCCCTTATATTTTGCAGTGGCTAATCTCAGGAGAGGGGCGCCCAGGGCATTTGCAGTGGTCACTCAGGAGATTTGGAGATGTCACTAGTGACATGAAGACGCAAAGTCATCATCCTCTGCAAAGATGGTCACCTCCATACAGAGATACAGTGCAAAACAAACCATGGTAAGTCAGTAATGGGGAATTGATAAGCTGAGGGCAATATTGGTATCTAATTCTTTGCTCTCTGTCTGCCTTCCAAAGTTCACTGCCTCTAGCTGAAATTAGTTACTGGGGTTAATTCACTAAATAAATAGATGTTTTACTTAGATGTTCAAAGTATATGTTCAATGTCAATACATCTTTTTACTAATAAACACTTTTGAAAGTTAACAGCCTCGTATTCATGTAGTAAATAAGCAATATATGTTTACAGCTACTAAAAATAACAATTATACTGTATGTGTAATCTACATTATTATTATTTTGAAACTGAAGATTTGAGATTTGATTACTGTTGATTTTGACATACATACATAGCATAGCATACATACCAGAGCCAATTTATCAACAAGCATGTCTTCAGAGTGTGATAAGAAAACCCATGCAAGCACAGAATAAAACATGAAAACTCAGTGCAGATAGTGTCATGGTTGGGGTTCAAACCAAGGACCCTAGTACTGGAAGGTAGAAGTTGTCAAGGTCCTACCTTTCTTCAGAGCTTGTGCATCTCCATGAGCTGGCATCCATCTTGGTTTTCTGCAAAGCATGGTGGGAACCTTTATGCCTTCAGGCTTCTGCGGCTCCTCCTCAGAAGGGTGTGGTTGAGCACATTTAAACCTGCTGTCTGCAAGTGTGCTCTGCACTTGTGTCCTGTATGTTGCCCTGTTGCAAGCTCTTGTGGTGTTCCCATTGCTCTCCTGGTAACCGACTCGGCTTGGACAAGGACTACTCTCTGCGTTAACCCTTTACCTGACCTCCCGTTGCTGAACCCGGCCCGTGAGCCTGAGATTCTTTGCCTACACGGCTGGAACTAGACTGACTCCCGTTGTTGCTGAACCCGGTCCCGTGACCTAGTATTTCTTTGCCTCTAGCGTCTAGTACTGTCTGCTCCGTTGTTATTGACCGTCTAGTCTGTCTGACTGCTCTACTCGTGTTCCCATCTAGCTCCCACCAGCTGTACGCCATTGGCGGCAGTCGTTATCGCAGCTGGGGTCACTCGGGGGGGCCGCGACCTGGTCTCAGGCTGCGTCAAGTCCATCCCCACCATCAGGGGCCCTGGTGAAGGGTAGCCTGGGGCTTAGACCTCCGTATCCGCGCCCTGAGGGACTTTGGTCTGTGGGTAGTGGCTGTCGTCAGTCGCAGCGTGACCGTACCATAGGCCTGCCTGCCCATTCCAGTGTTCCTGCCCTGACAGAAGTGCTGACTCCTAAGGCCTCATGCAAACTGCAGCTGTCAGACACCTGTTTTTCCTGTTTTTTTTTCTGCCCCTAAATGCCCCCTCTATGTTAGCCTATGTGTCCATGCACACATAGGTGTTTAAAGGAGTTTAGAGCCTATTGTGTCCATGCCCACATTAGTTGTTTAAAGGAGTTAGAGGCAGCGGGGAGTTTAGGGGCAGAAATCTGAATGCACCAAAATCGTGTTCAGGAGAGGAGGTTTGGAGCAGAAAAGTTTCCTGACATGCCTAAGTGCGCTTAACTGGATGCGCTGGGTGAGTGAGTATCTAAAGTGGGCTGATCTCACCATAATGAAAGTAGGGGTTAATAAAAAAAAAATGCAGGTGTTGGAAAGGGTGAAAAACTACTTTAATAAGAAAAATAAAATCTTACTTAGATTGTATTCTCCTTGAGGGTCAGGGACTGATGTGAATGTACAATATATATACGTAAAGCACTGCGTAAATTGACGTTGCTATATAAAGTACCTGTAAAAAATAATAATAATACTATTAAAAATAAAAAATGAGTCCTGACCATAGTCAATAATTATATAAACATATTGAAAAAATACTATATAGTTGCTTTTTTTTTGTACAATTCCCCCAGACTCAGTCAATGTTCATAATGTATATAGTAAAACTATATATTGTGACATGGGGGATGTTTAACTCAGTGGAAGATGCTTTTTCACATCAGTGAGGAACTGCAGTATAATTAAGGGCCTGGTAGCCCATGTTTATTAAAAAAAAAGAAAAAAAAAACAAAACAAAAGTCCAACATAAGCTTTCCCACACAGTTCTTCTCCAGTCAAAATACAAATGGAAAATACTAAGCCACCTGGCTCTCTCATTAGCAGTACCTCTGCTTGTTTGGTGTCCCAGACAATTGGCTATTCCATGCACACAGCCTTGGACTTCTTGAACATACACAGCCTTGATTCCCTTAACACACACACGCAGCCACAAACTTCTTATCGCACACAGCATCTATCTACACACAGATACTCTCTCAATTGCAGCCACTGCTCTAACTCCCCTCCACTCCACCTACAACTCCTAGCAGACCATCATTATAAGGGCTGTGTGCATCTGGGTACACACCCTGCTGGGCACTGGTTTGGAGATTTCTTCCCTCCCAAGGCACTTTTAAATCTCTATACAATGGAGCCCCATCTGGCAATACAAAAATCTGGAGAAAGCTGCAAAAGTAGTTTTCTCCACTCAAAATCCATGCTCCATAGTCCTGAGCTCAGCACATGTGCAAACCCTGAGTCCTTTTCCTGACTATTTCTACCTATATTCACCCAGTGACGGGGCCTTGGAATGTTAATATATATATTGCTCGGCATAAATGAGTACACCCCTTTTGAAAAGTAAGATTTTAATCAATATCTCAATGAACACAAGAACAATTTCCAATATTTTGACAAAACTGAGGTTTATACACACTGTTCCAAATTATTATGCAAATTCTATTTAAGTGTCACAAAGATTAAATATTTAGTTTTTCAGTTTAACTCATGGATGGCATTGTGTCTCAGGGCTCTTTTGATCACTGAAAACAATCTCGGGCACCTGTGATAATTAGATTGGCAGGTGAGCCCCAAGGTGTCCGTTTTGACACAGGAATAAACAACGGATCTCAGCTATTCTCTGGTCATTCACAGTTTATAACACTCATTAGATCATGTCAGCCCTTCTCTGGAGATCTGTGTTCTCCCTCCAGATTCTCCAGCCCAGAGCTGGAGAATCGGAGGGACCGCAAACTAAGCAGAGATAATTTACCTCTGCTTAGTAAACTGATCTTTTACTGTAATCTCACGAGATTATAGTAAAATCAGCCGTTTTCCAGAGTTTGTAGACCGTTCTCCAGTGTTTGGAGACCGTTCTCCCTTCGTTCGGAGAACTGCTTCATAAACTGCATTCACAGGAGAACTGTGTTCTCCGAGAATGCCGGAGAACTGAGCAGCGATCTATTACTGCTGGTTCATAAACGGACACCTAAAGGAGGGTGTTCCACGTTATTGAGCAGAGCACCATTTTCAAGCAATATGGGGAAGAAAAAAGGATCTCTCTGCTGCTGAAAAGAGTGAAATAGTTCAATGCCTTGGACAAGGTATGAAAACATTAGATATTTCACAAAACTTAAGCGTGATCATCGCACTATTAAGAGATATGTGGCTGATTCAGAGCACAGACGGGTTCGTGCAGATAAAGGCACATTGAGGAAGATTTCTGCCAGGTCCATGCATCGGATCAAGAGAGCAGCTGCTAAAATACCATTACATAGCAGCAAACAGATATTTGAAGCTGCTGGTGCCTCTGGAGTCCCACAGACATCAAGGTGTAGAGTCCTCCAGTGTCTTGCAACTGTGCATAAACCTTCTATTTGGCCACCAATAACCAATGCTCACAAGCAGAAATGGCTGCAGTGGGCAGAAAAATACATAAAGACTAATTTTCAAACAGTCCTGTTCACTGATGAGTGCCGTGCAACCCTGGATGGTCCAGATGGATGGAGTAGTGGATGGTTGGTGGACGGCCACCCTGTTCCAACAAGGCTGCGACGTCAGCAAGGTGGTGGTGGAGTCATGTTTTGGGCCGGAATCATGGGAACAGAGCTGGCCGGCCCCTTTAGGGTCCCCGAAGGTGTAAAGATGACTTCTGCAAAGTATGTGGAGTTTATGACTGACCACTTTCTTCCCTGGTACAGAAGGAAGAACTATGCTTTCCGTAATAAAATCATCATCATGCATGACAATGCACCATCTCATGCTGCAAAGAATACCTCTGCA